AAAAGAAGAAAAAATGACCCAATAACAAAATCCTGGGATTTCTGCATTGAAACCACATGCGGCTTGTGTAGCCCTCAACCTTCCAAAGTAAAGAGGAAAAGATTAGAAGCAGAGAAAGAGATTAAATAGTGCTAAAGGAATCTCTTGAAACAAGACGACTCAGACTGATCTTCCTTGCAATTTCATTAACAGAAGATACAGAAGCAATAAAAATTACTATTACTAGATTACTGACTTCACCTACTAGATTTGAAGCCACTCTAAATGCTCAAAGCAACCATAAAGGAACAAGCCTGGTATTTCTTTATTTTCTATAAACGGTTGCCAAATTTTCTGCTACAGTTTTTCACCTACCTGCATATTCACTAGGCAACTTTAATCACATACAGCTGTTCATGAAACTTTAATGGTGTTTTTCCCACTGAAACATTAATATTTTCTGGTTAAGAGTCCCATATTATAAATCATTTTGTGAAACACAGACAATTAAAGCACAAAGTTTCTGCAGAAGTTTTTGCTAGGTGACTGAAGATCATAGAAACACAAAATAAAAACTATCCATTCCACATAAAGGCATTTGAGTGCCTGAACTGAACCTAGCAGGAGGGAGCAAAACGCTGGTGCATACAGCATGGACAGAACAGAGATTAGGGTGTAAGGATTTCTTGTTTACTAGGTTATTTTTTAATGAAAAATTCTTTTTTAATAAAATGATGTATTGTTTCAATCTTAGCAACTGGATTTTACAATTACTTTGTAATCCTATAATTACATCCAGAAGATCACCATGACCACCTGATTTGATCCCCTTCTTAAAGGAAACTAAGAATCACTCTCAGACTTTTAAACTTCTGCGTCTTCTCTGCTTTATATAAATTATTTGCCAAGACATCACTGAAAAGAGTCTTTAAAACAAAAATAGATTCAAGAAAAATCAAAGGTACTGTTTATTTAAGTTTCAGCAGTTCAACTCTTGATGTTTGCAATAGTCCTGCCTTGACATCTACCAGGACAGCATTATAACACTTTCTCTGCTACCAAGCCATATACGGTTGAGGGAATATTATATTATTATATTATTATATTATTATATTATTATATTATTATATTATTATATTATTATATTATTATATTTTATTTAAGCATACTGTAGAAGGATATTAAATTTTACAGGTCAGATTCTTCATGGTGCTTGTATAAGGCTGGAGCTGCAGGAAGAACAAACACCCCACTGCCATGATACAGTGTCCCCGCGTCTGCCTAGAGAAAGTTCCCTTGGCCCTGTTATGGTGGGATGGGTCTCCAGGCCACAGCTCACACATTTTCCACCATTTTTACATAGATCTGGGTCCCATAGTAAGATGAACTTGTACCTATGAGAGTGCTTCATACAAACTGAGCTTCCCACCTGTCATTCAGAAGCCTACCTAAGCCTCTGAAACAGCACCAAGCACAAGCAGGTAAGTGCTAAGGAGGCACCTGGACTACCTTCTTTCTGTCTGGGGTAATCTTTCAACCACGTAACGAAACAAAAAACTGTTGGGGACTTTGAAACAAAATGGCTTGAGGTTTTTTTTTGTTTGTTTGTTTTTTTCTAGCTACTCCCTTTTAGGCTCCACCTGGACTCTTGGTTTTGCCTAACCCTTCTGTAACTCCTACACAGCAGGCTCAGTTCAGCTGTGCACAGCTACTGGGGCTCAAACAGAGAGCAGAAGTGGAGCAGACAAGCAAGGTAATTCAATTTAGGAAGATAATTCACTTTTGGTATTAGCCATTCCCCCGCCACCCAAATGAATCACTGGCAACAAATACCCAGCCTTTTTCTAATGGAGAGAGAGTGCTATGCTTATTATCTTCATTCTTCACTCCTGATGAGCTGTAGAAACGTTTGTGCCTGATTCTGAGCATATTGGTATTGATGTAAAAAAGGGTCTGCCTTTACAGATGCAACCGCACTGCCAGCACAACAAAAGGAGGAAGGAGAACAGGACAGGGCACTTGTTACCCAGTACAGCTCTCTGAAGTGCAATTTAAGTTTGTATTGGTTTTTTTTTTTTTTTTCCTGTTGCTGCTGTGGGTTACCTGAAGCTCAACCTCCACATGAAGAAAGCTTCTCTTCCATTCCCCTCTGTCCCCGCTTTGCATGCTTGCAGGGCATATAGATGTGATAAACACAAAGCGGCTCCCTTCTTACATTGCCTCAAGATATAAAAAGAGGCAAATTTCCCCTAATCAAAGATTTTATCAGCGAAGTGAACCTTTCATCCCTCCCGTAAACTACTTTTCTGAACAGACACTTCTTTGAAGTATTGCCTGTCCCTGTCCAGAAAGAAGAAAGTGACATCTTCAACTATGAAGGTATCTGGGCTCTTTCTTGACAGACAGAATGTGATACAGAAGATTATGAGATTCTGTATGTGAGGCAGTTTTTGGTTCTGCAAGTTCATTTCTTTGGTTGAAAATAAACATGAAACTGCAAATGCAGCGCTGCACAACAGCCTATCCCTCCTTCATTGAAGAGTTGCCAGCACTTCTGTGGAATCAGGTTAAAGAATTCAAAGAAGTCACTCTCCCCTTCCTACAAGAGAGAACGTTCACTGTCCCCCATCTGCTAGATGACTGAATTCACTCATTTCTAATCATGACTAGCTTCCCCTAAATTTCCTCCACAACTCTTATTCAGGCATTTGTATGAGTTCCTTTTGGTGATGGATGCAACTGTCTAGCTCCAAACCTGTTGGTTCACCACCAGTGATCTATAGGTCAGGGAGGTTGGGAAAGCATTGTATGGTATAAAGTGCCAGGAATGGGAAGCATATCTGAATAGGATTTTGTTCATTTATAGTACACAAATTTTATTCAATACATAGAACCCAAACTTCACCTTCTACCTCTTCTTGTTCTATCTACAGTAGGATGCTGAGTATGAAAGCAGTCATCTCACTTGCATATTCTCCATGGCTCTGTGGAAAGGTAAGCTCCACCTTTCCCACCACATGGGCTACATGGCTGAGCAAGGTGTATATCTCTTGAGCTCCTTTGGGTTACTAACATGATGTTGTTGATGTCATCTCTGCTGCAATCAGCCCTGCAGCACAATGCTATGATTGTTTCCCCTGACTCACATTCACAGCGCATTTGTTCCAATAGGCTTGAAAATGACGGGATGAGGCAGGCTAGGTTTTCCTGCTCAGTAGGTTTTTGCTCCAATCTAATTAAAAACATTCAGTAACTCACTAGAGTTCCTTGCAAACTACACACATTCCATGCTTTACAATAAACTCTGAAAGCAAACTGCCTGATATTTTCTAAATCAGCTCCTTAAGTTGAGAGGATTCCTCAGGAATTTCTTTACATTAATATACCAAAGCTGTGTGTTGAACCAGAAAAGTCAAGCTTCTCTTGAAACATCTTGTTTTCGCTGTTATTGTTAATGGCTTTATTTTCTTGTCTAAAAGCTAACAAGGAAAACCACTCTTGGTTCTTTGACATGCATAGAAGTGACAGGACAGCTCACTGGAAACAGTCAGCTCTGGTCACCTTGGTTTGAAACTGGGTCAGTGATGCCAGCTTCTGGGTATACTGAAGGAATATGCAATTAATTCGGGGATTCAGAAGCTGAGGGCATGAACATTCTCTGCTTGCAGGCAGAACTCAAGTAATCCAGCTTTTGTGCTTAAAGAGCAGGCAGTCATGTCGTAACTAAGATGTGTTTACATATGGTTTTTGAAACAGGCCTCCTTTCTGGGAAATGCATAAGGGGATCTTTGGAACCAGATAAGCCAAACCCCATAGTGTCACAACAGCTTAATTTAAAGGCAAGTGGGAGATGGCCACCACCACAAGTGTGAGAGAACACATACTGGCAGAAAAGTACTTGGAGCTCCGAACAGTGCAAGCACCTCTGGAGACAGTCAGAGGGAAAGACCATGCAGACTTAACACATTGTGCTTTCAACTCCGTCCCTGGCACTGAGAAGAGACCTTACCCCTGCCAACAGTCTCTTAGTCCTTGGTGCCTCATGAAATACCTGTCCTCATCTCCAAAAGCAGAGTACACTTAAGCTGTACCAATGGGAACAAACTCCTTCAGGGTTGTAACAACCAATTAAGGGATGGGAAGCAATTACTTCTATGTCCATACAAATGAAACTCCTGCAATGCAATTAACTATCCCTTATCATCTACTGTTGAATTTCTGAAAAGCACATGCTGCACATTCTCTCCTTCTCTAGCTTTTTCACAAATTTAATCAGTTTGTTTTAGCTAATGCAGTGGAACCAGCCTATTCTAGAGAAATAATATATGGCTGCAAATTACCTGAATATTTTCAAATGTTTTTTTTCATTTAAAATATAATGTGAGATTTTGCAGTATTCATTTCTATTAATATATTATCATTTCTTCTTTATAAATGATGAGCCAGTGTGTCATGTAATTTTTTCTTCTAAATAGATCAAGACTTTGATCTAATGCAAGCCCTTGCTGGGAGTAGAGAGACTTTCTGTCTAATTTAGTTACAAAAAATATTCAATTAAATTTGGGAGTTTAATTCATTTAGTTATGAAAATTAAATGAGCTCAATAAAGTACATTTGATTTGCCTCAGGAAAAAAAAAAGGGGGCGGGGGGGATAGAAGAATCTGTGAAAGGGGAAATAAGGAGGGGAAAAAAAAGTAACTTTTCTTCTCAAACTGAAAGGTGTATAACACGAAGAGCCTGTACGCATTTTAGTGTGGCTATATAAAACATATCTACAATAAGTTTATTTACAGTTTCTATCCAGAGACCACATAAATAAATGGCATTAACACTCTAAGTTAAGTCTCCTGGGTAACAGAAATACTGATAGGTCATATTTGAGTCCACCTCTCCTACACAATCCTTCTCCATCTCCCTTTGGAGAAAGAGGAAGCAATGGAAATCATTCTGCAAAAATGGAACAGAGACACTTGGATCCCTCTGAGAAAAACCCCCTTCTAGTTCTGCAGCAGTCACTTACCATTTTTGCAGATAGGACAGCACTGATCAGGTTCATATACTGGATCCACGCACTCGGTCTGGGGACAAGCTGACACAGTGCACAGCACTTCACCATTGGCTTCACAGCGACACTTCTCACATGGAGAAACCTGAAACACAAATCCACTCATCTTTTAATCCTTTCACTTCTTCTTTCTTTTATCTCTTATTCCTCTTTCTTTAAAACAAATGCTTTTTTATGGTCTGAATAATGCAGAGGGCAAGCTGGGCTCCTGCAAAATTACAGGTCTGCAGCAAAATGAGTTGCAAGCTCTGCTGTGAACCTATGCCCCAAATGGAACTGCTAAAGGGATCTCGGGAACAACAACTTCTTAGATTTTAACACAAATAAAGTAAAAATATTCCTACATTTTTAGTGAAATTCCAGCATAATAGGTTCCTAATTCAGTTAAAATTTTGTTTAATTTTATTAGATATTCAAAAAATAATTCAGAAAAAAATACTGCATTAAAAATAAGGGAGAATTTTTGCTTAATGAAACAAAACTCCTTTTAATGGAAATCTTCATTGTATTTTTTCCAGGTTTGAAACCTCTTGGTGGCAGGAAGTTGCATTTCACTGAATGCAACTTCACTGAAAATGATCATTCTCACTGTGAAGTAGGGAAAAACATCCTGTGAATTCAGGTATTTCCCAGAGGTTAACTACTCTTTTGCAATATGTGAAACTTTCTGAAAAGAAAATGCAACTCAAAGAAACAGGTGAAGCCAAAAAAGAAAGAAATGGGGTCATCCTTTTTTACCTACTGAACCGTAACTGGTTTTGAAGAATTCTGCAGAATAGAAGCGCCAGGAGATAACTACTTAAATGACCTACTTCAATTAAATTAATTTCTAACAAAATGGAATCAAGGATCCCTTTAGGAAAGATGGACTTTAAAACGCCTGTATTAGATGTATAATTCCAGTTGTTCTCTTCCCCACAAGGTGCTGCACATGGCATCTCTAATGTCCATGTACTCCTAGAGGAGCTGGAGATAGAGGGAAGGAAGGACACCAAAGAAGAAGAAATTGTATACGTTAAATTGTATCACTATTCTCAAAAAAGCCCCACACTGCTATCTGTGCTCAGAGCGCAGGATGAAAATCTGGCTGCATGTTAGTAACAGTGATCCTCTAAATCCATCATCTGTGCACATTCCAGGTTTACTTAAGGTCAACACTTTGACAAGGCTGGTTTTGCTTGGAGTCTTTCCCATTCCAGATTCCAGTTGATGCAAAACAACCATCTTCTGCATTTCTCCAACGTGAGCAGAGTAACCACAAAGCTAAAAAAATACAGTCTTTATTATGGAGAATCATGCAGATCTCTAACTTGCAGATCCTCTGGTATCTTCTCCCTCTTTCTGAAGCAGCCTATCACATTTTTTTTCCTCAAGTCCATTCTTGGCTTGCTTGTCCTGTTCACATCTTTCTCACTTTCTGAGTTCAAATACATTGATGCTTGCACAGCATCATCTCCAACTAAATGCTCATCCATGCTTTGCTACTTCTCTTCCCACCTGCCAGGACTGTCATTTCTTTATGCACTCGTGTATCTTTTAACACCATCCCCTCTACTTAGAATGCCTAAATAGGGTCTCTTGCTGTGTTGCTTTCTACTTTTATTACAATTATTTATTTCAGACTTCCTTTGCTAGCTACTTGCTTCCAGATTTCCCTTTGCTTTGCACTCCACTCAGGACAAAAATACATCATGCATTTATAAAATGCTACATGGAGGCTGACAGCCCACTGCTGCAGACTTTTATTGCGGGCTTTCGGACAGGAACTTTGTCTTGTAATTGTTCAGAGACTGCCATGTTCACTTGCAGAGTTGGAATGTCAGCAGATGAGGAGATTTCTGATCTAGTGTTCAGAGTCAGCTATTTCAGGCAGTCACTTGAATTCCATGTGAAAGTTTGAACGTAAGCAAAAATGAGCCCCTGCAAGTCATTAGTAAGAGTCTTCCCTCTGGACTTAGGTGCAGAAAGAAATGCTTACTAAATTATGAAAAGAAAATAAAATTAGAAATCCTATTTGATCAGCGCTACTAGAACTCAGTTCCAAGGATAAGGCTCAACAAGGCAAATCTATAGCTTTCAATAGGCTTCAAAATTTTTTTAGACTTATGCATAAGTCTAAAACTTCTACAGCAGGAAACCATCAAGTAAAGCATTGATAATACTGCAAAATGACAAATAAAAGTGATCAAATCTTTGTCTAGTAATGATAATTTGGAATGATGCCCTTTCCTCTTATACAGTGTGTTCAGTTAAGGACCACATCATCCATGAAATAAGGTACACTACTGCTCATGTTACACTGCAGTCAGGAACACTCTTCCTATTTGGTAATGATGGGTCGTTTCAGGAGAATGCATACAGAATCCCAGAACAATTTGGGCTGGAAGAGACTTCAAAGCTAACCCAGCCCCACTCCCCTGACATGGGCAGGGCTGCCACCCACCAGCTCAGGCTGCCCAGGTCCCATCCAACCTGGTCTTGAGTGACTTTAGAGATGGAGCACCCACAGCTTCTCTGGGCAGCTGTGTCATTGCCTCACTACCCTCATTTGAAAGAATTTCTTCCCAATATCTAATCATAGAATCATAGAATCATCAAGGTTGGAAAAGACCTCCAAGATCATCAAGCCCAATCTAAATCTACTTTTTTGTAGTTGAAAGCTGTTGCCCTATTTTTTAGCCACTACAGGGTCTAGTAAAAAGTCTTTCTTCATCTCTATATCACACACCTTTAGTAAGCACTGCCAACTATCAGGCCCAATTTTGTTCAACTTTTCCCTTACTGGATGGGATAAACACTCCTCTGATGTCTCTGTTAAGTCAACTGTACAAACAGCAGTTTGTGACTCCCTGCCACTCTTTAGTCCAAAGGTTCCACCTCCCACTTACTCAGGAACATGGATTCCATAGGAACATGCCCATGGGAACCATGTGGCAAAGCCATCAGCCACATATGGTGTTATCCTACTCTAGGTATGTGTCAGAACCAGAGATCAGATTCCAATGCTCACAAATCCTGCTTTGTTCGACACTGCTGCTTTCCCCCTCTCTCCCCCCACTTTTATGAGGCTAATTTTTATACCTCAGACTGTTTACCAAAGTCAGTAGGACCCACATATGCAAGCTTAGCCCACTTTGGTGAGGAAGGGGACTGGCATCAAGGAGGTTCTGCATGCATTTGTGCTCATAAACCTCTTTTCAAGCATGTAAGTGAACCACAGTAGCTGCTAAAACGGTATTTGTGTCAACCTTTATCTATTCATCCTTGGACTAAATGGTAGAGCACTGCTTTTTATATATTATCATGATGTAACAGGAACTGTAGAAAAACAGTTTCTTATCTTAATGGCAGCTGAATACTTGGAGACATAATCATCATTAGAGAGAGAGAGACAATAAGACAGTGTATTACAACAGAAGTTAAATAAATCAGAATGAAAAGAAATTTTTGGTCCTTCATTTCCTCTCCTCTATTCCTGTAATGTAAGAACATTCCCTGCAGCACAGTCTCTAATGACAGCCAATGCAATGAGCATCCTACTTGTTCATCTGGGAAACCACCAGTCTCGCAGAACTCACACTTAGCACATTTGACATAACCAGGCTGGACTGGAGACGACATAACCTAGCAGTCTCTCTCTGAAGACTAACGATGCCATGACTCTCTGGTCTGCAGATGAAGTTATTAACTACACAGCAGCACTAGATCTGTCTATGCAAAAACTGAATAAAGACAACAAGAAGCACAGAAGTCTGAAGTATTCACCAGGCAGCTGTAAAACCTGTAGAAAATGGAGTACAGATGGCAAAAATAAAAACTTCTTTAGAACTGTTTCCAGAGAAGTTTATGAGCAGATGCATAAACATTTTGCTATCATGTTGCAGATGTAGGAAAAAACACAAACACTTAACTGTGTAAACAGGTAGACTTTCCACTAGTAGGGCAGAAAACTGAACATCAGTCAGAGTAGTACGTTTATCAAACAACTTACAACTTAAACTGTTGCAATTAAGAAGTCATTGACACTCATTAAAGTTTTGATACAGAGTAAGATGAGCTTTGTCTTTTCCCTTCCCACATGCCAAATAAAATATTATAGATTATATGTAATTCACATTTGCTCCTTGAGCTTTGAAAACATCTAAGCTTAAAAAAAAAAAAATCATAATCCCAAAGTGATTTGCTATTCTGCTGGAATTTGAATAACTATTTTCTTTCACTTACACAACTTAGGAGAACATAAACAGAATTAGGCTGACAAGAATTAAATGTACCAGCCTTGCTTTTATTTCTCTATCATTGACAGTGTCACAGATGTTTCAAAATTTGTTTGGGTATGTTGACTTCCAGATTTCCAAAGTATTCACACCTCCTCCTCCTCCTCCTCAAAAAAAAAAAAAAAAAAAAAAATCACAAATTTTTGGTGGCATAGACATTCAAAACAAAACCCATAAAGCAACAACTTCCAACAATGTAGATCTTTCCCATTGAATAATACACTTCTGAAGATAATTTATGGTCCCTGTAAGGCTATTACTTTATATGTCAGCCTGCATTTCCAAATGTTATTGTAAGACTGAAAAACATCTCATGGAGTACGTGCTCAGCAATCTCTAGCTCCAGTGCTGAATTTTATCCTAGTTGCATTTCACCAGCAGTGCTGAGGCTTTTGCTCCAGTTTCACTTGTACGGATCCCGCAACGATGCCTCTGCCATACAGCATCACGATACCCCCAAGAGAGCAGAGTGGTGCTGATGAAAACAGCTTCAGGAAACCTCATCCTTGTGATTTTGTATCGATATTCCTATCCTTTTTGAAAAGCAGAAAAACACAGGTGTACACACACACACACAGAGCCCGTGGGTTTGACTGTCAATCAAAGAAGAAACGCATCAAATCTTCATTCCCTGGCAAACGCAGCTTCTGAGTTAGCACTGGCTCTTTTCAAGGAGATGTTTTGCTGTGTTGAATTATATACAGATTTTATATAAGCAGACTCCTAAACCTGCATGTATATATATACACATCTTCATGCAAGTATTTGTGTAGGTAACTTCCCTTAAAAGTTAAGTCACCTTTTTCTTCCTTCAGTGATGTCTGATGAGTTGGCAATAAACAGAAAACAAGGTGAAGAGAGAATAAAATCAGACTTCTATCCATTTATAATTCCTTCCCTGACCTTCATCAAGAGGTGGCACACAGAAAGGTCTGTAAGACAGCCAGCTTTCAACTTGTAGAAAAAGCCTTTGTTGCGATGATTTGCATTTGCAGTTGTTTCCAACCAGCAGCAATCTGACCACATCTGTGCTCTTCTTTGCCAGGCATCACAGCTAATTGTGGTTGCATGGGCTGATGATTGTGTTTACAGTTTTGTGCCCGTATCATTGGAACCAGTGTGGGAGCCCGACTAACAAGCAATGTCCTGATGTGTCAAAATGAAGTAGTTGCAAACCCACTGCTGTGCTGTGCTGGTAGCTTTTCTTGTTCATCTGGAGCAGGCACCCATTCTCCCTCCTTTCCAAAGCCGACAAATACAAAGCAGTAAGGGAAATACTATTTCATTGCAGGAGGGCATCAGTTCAACTACATAAAGGCTGAACAGGGTTAAAAAGGAATTTGGAAGCCAAAGTCTGTACTAACATTTTTGTAGATGTCACTCTTTGTGTTCCCTTTTTACCAAAGCTGCCATCCATGCTCAAGTATAACGGAAGTCCTAAGGTTATACTCTCCCAGCATACACTGAACAAGGTACTTCAGATTTGCTTTACAGCCAGTAACAGGACACCACTGTATACAGAGAAAAGCAACTTGTTAGAAGTTAGACTAACAGTGAGGAGAAGCCTTTCAAACCTCCATATAGAGACCTGCACAGAACACGTGCAAAAGCATAATTGTTCTGGCTGCCATTCAGAATTAACTTCACTGGAAAAGAAGGAATCATACAACCTATCTCTGAAGTGTCACCAACCTGTCACTGCTACAGTGGTCTTCCTCTTAAAGGGGAACCACTGCCCCAGAACTGAATGCCATCTTTGAGAGGATGCACAATGTCTTCTGCCATGCTTTGAAAACAACAATACTCTGCACGTGAAATGTGAAGACGTAAATAGAAATAAGCTTCTAAGATCACATAGACACCACAGAGAGCAGAGGGGGCAACTTATTTACATCCTTCACAAATGCAATTTATCTTCCTCCACCTACGAGAGGCTCAACCTGACAGAGCTCCAAAGTGCCCTCAGCCCACTCAAACCAAAGCCATGTATTCCACAAAGGTGCTGAACCAGATCTGTACCTGCAGCTATTCCCAAGCAATTCCTTACAGCTTGCCTGCAGAGCTCAGCCACTACAACGTGTGAAAAGGGCAAGATAAGCAACCAGGAAACTTCAAAACTTTTCAGTGCACTGCAGTAAACAACATACATTTTCAATGATAATGACCTTGGACAGCAGTGTCTAAGAGGCTCTGCTCTGAAAAGCTTTCTCTAAACACAGCTTTCCAAGTCCTTTGTTTCAATGTAACCGAGAGCCAGACAGTAACCTCTGCTCTCATTAAAAGGCAGTCCCATCCTTGTTCTCTGAAAGTATTACACAACCTTTACAGCTCAGATTAGGCAGCATATAAAAAGGGGAAGAATTAAAAAAAAATATCATCACTGCCTGATTGCTGGGAATGGGAGTCAGCCCGCAACCCCTGCCTGGTCCCTGCACGGCACAAGTGTCACAAGGTAAAACAAGAGAACAAACGCAGTGCTGGAAATCCTCCTCAAATCCACCCCACCGCCAAGCAGCATCCTTTCAAGTAGCATTTTTTACTGTAAATACCAAAGGAATTGATAGAGACCAACCCTTTCATTTAAAAATGTTACAGTATCGCAGCACAAGAAAGGTCATGTTTGAGGGGAATATTTCACAGCACCGCAGAAGCAGCGCGAAGGCAGAAATGAAAAGGGGAGAGGAGACTCAGAGCAGCCTCCAAACCCCCCGTGCGGCTCCAAGCGACCGAGGCCCTGCGAAACGCCCTTCTGCTCGGCCCTTACCATGAACTCCTCGAGGCTCTGGTAGGTCTTCCCCCGAAACTCGCAGTAGTTCTTCCTCTCCTTGCACTGCGGGCAGCACTGCGTGGTGTCCACATGCACGCACCGAGGGTGGAGCCTGGGGCACTCGGGCTGCATGCACAGCGGGCCCTCCTCCGTGCACAGGCAGGGGCAGGCCGACGGGCCCGGCGCAAACTTCTCCCCGATGGCGTAGACGAAGCCGCTCTCATCCACGCAGCCCTTCCCGCGGTAGTCCGGGTAAGCGTACTCCTCCAGGGGCTCCGGGGTAGCGCTGGCCACTGCCGCCGGCAGCGACGAGGCCTCGGCCGGACGAGGCGCCTCGGCCGCCATGTCCCGCTGCTCCTGGGCCGGCACGCTGGCGGGCTTGCCGCCCGTCCCCTGGCTGCTCCAAGCCTGCTTCTGCTTGGTCCACGACTCCTTGTTGGAGTAGTTCCTGCCGCCTTTGCTCTTCCAGTCCCTGCCGCCCTCCTCCCTCCCGCTGCGGCCGATCTCGCCCACTTTCCCCGCGCCGGCCTGGCTGTCCCTCGCCGACGCGTGGTCCCTCTTCTCCTGGCCGGCCTTGATCTCCTGCTTGTCCTGTGCCCTGGCCAGCTTCTGCAGGGGGATGGTGGAGCTACAGAGGGCGACCATGAGGCAGCAGGTTACCAGGAGAGAGCTGGAGAGAGCTCCAATTGCCATTGCAGTAGAGCTGGGCATCACCTACTGCATCCCACAGGGGACACTGCGCTCACATCGGAGGGAAGTGCGCGGCGGATCCGCAGCCCCTAGGAAGAGAGCGGTCAGAACACTTCAGCCCGGGCACCTCTCCCCCAGCCCGACGCAACGACACCTCGAGCGCCGTGCGAACCGCACGCACCGGGCAGAGCACAGCCTGCTGCTGCGGCCATCCCTCCTCCTCCTCCTCCTCTTCCTCCTCCTCCTCCCGCTCCTCCTCCCCCCGCTCCGGAGCGGACCTCCGCCCGAGCCGCGCACGCCGACCCCCGTCCCGGGGTCACGGTCTCCCCCGGCGGCGGCCCCGGGGCCGGGGCCGAGTGACAGCGCTGCCCGGCGTGGAGCAGCGCGGAGCCGGCTGCGTCCCGCTCATCTGCATGCACGGTGTTTTTCACGAGCCTCTTACTCAGCCTGAAGTGCCGGTTTGTTTGGTTGGTTTTTAAATGCCTACCATCGCATCGAAGCGCCCCGAGCCAAACTACATCCCTCCCGAACTCCCCAAACAGACACGCAGCATCCCTTCCTTCCCGTGCTTTAAAGGCACGGCGGAGCCCGGAGGAGTTCCCGCGGCACCGACAGCGCTCCCGGCTCCGTCCCCAGCGCACCGCGCATCACACCCCGGACACACACACATATACGTACGCTGCTCCGGCCGCGGCGAGCCGAGACGCTCCAGCTCCCGGCGCAGCCCCACCTCCGAGGTACGGCTCCTCAAAGCCATTTAAAAGCCGCCGCACCGCCCGCCTCCCCGGCCCTCACCGGCGGCCCGGCCCGGCGGGGGCGGCGGCACCGCGGGGCACCGCGCCCGCTCCTCCCGCAGCCCCGAACTTTCCGGCGGGGCCCGGCCCGGCGCCCCCCTACCTGCGCGGAGCCGGGCTCAGCCCCGCCGGCGGCTCGGGGCTGCCACGGCGGGGCTGCGGGCTTCCCGCCCGCCGGCCGTCCCTCCGCCAAAGCCAACGCACCGCCGCCCAGCCGGCCCCGCCGCCCCCGGGGGCGGGCTCCGCCGCGGCCCCCGCTCTCTCACACGGCGGAGGGAACCGCGGCACGCCGACCCGCTCCGGCCGCAGCGGAGGGTGGAGCGCGGGTGGCGGTGCGGAAACTTCGCCGGGATGAGGGCGTCGGGCGCGGTGCGAAGCCGCAGGGGAGCGCGGGTGGCGGAGGGGCCGGCGGGTTCAGCCTGGCCAAGGCTGGCTGCGTCGATCGGCTCCGCTTTGGTTAGCGCCCTCCTTAGCCCCGCTTAGCAGCGATCCGGTGCGTGGTACGCGAGTTGGAAAATGTATTTGTGCTTTCGGATGGCTGACAGGTGCTTCTGTGCTGAAATACCTTAGGGTTTTTCTCTGTTACACAGAAAGTAGGAAGAGCGGGTGGCTTTAGCAGTGATGGCTGAAGCGCAGGTAGTCGGAGTGGTGGGACAGAAGCGCAGAAGAAAAGCCCGAGCGAGATCTTTGCACGTGGTGTTTTCCATCCAGCAGGGGCTGGGAGCCCAGTAAGGTTACTTACTCATTTGTTTATTTGTTTAATGCCCACTTGCATTAGATGCTATCCCAGGATAATCTGTAGTGACTTTTGCCTTGCAGATGTCCCAGTGCAGTCCCAGCTGCACTAGCTTGAGTGCTGCAATGGATCTCCAGCAGCCCTGCCTGGTTCAAGGCTGGGCTGCATTACCCAGAGCACTTCAAAGTTCTAGGCTAGATAAAGTTTTCAGAAGTGTTGTCATTAAAATGGTAGCGCTGCAGTATGGATGCTCAGGAGAGCAATGGAGATTGGCTGGATATTAATGTTTCAGTGCTAAGTACCTTCCTGAGTGCCTGTTACTTCTGAAAGCCGAGGCACTTATACTCCTCCAGGGCAGGATGCAGGTGCAGCTCTTTTGGTTGCTGGGTTCTCACAGTGAACGTCCATGAGCCTGGCTTGGCTTACAGAATGATTTGCTAACACCATCTCACATCTCTATAACAAGCCAAATAAGGGTTTCATTTTCTGAAACTTTAAAATTCAAGGTTAATGTTTGGAAGAAAAGCAGCCAAATGGTTACACAAGTAAAATGAAGCTCCAGATGCCACACAGATTCTAGGCTACATCTTATAGAGCTAAGCTAGGCATTTCTCATTATTTGACTTGAAGTTCTTCTTGATGATTCATGCAAACTGGGGGAAGATCTCCTTGGGAGCAGCCCTGTGGAGAAGGACTTGGGGACTCTAGTGGACAAGAAGCTGGACATGAGCCAGCAGTGTGTGCTTGGCAGCCTGGAAGGCCAACTGTGTTCTGGGCTGCATTTAAAAAAAAAAAAAAAAAAAAAAAAAAAGGGGTGGCCAGCTACTCAGCTCTTATGAAGCCCCATCTGCAGCACTGCGTCCAGTCCTGGGACTCCCAGTAAGGAAGAACATGGAGCTCTTGGAGCGGGTCCAGAGAAGGGGCACTAAGATGATAAGCCAGTGCTAAGAGGGCTGGAGCACCTCTACTATGAGGAAAGATTGAGGGAACTGGGATTGTTTAGCTTGGATAAGAGAAGGCTATGAGGAGACCTCATGTGGCTTTCCAGTACTTGAAGGGAGTATATAAACAGGAGGCGAAACAGCTGTTTACGAGGGTGGATAGTGATAGGACAAGAGGGAATGGTTTTAAACTGAGACAGCTGAAGTTTAGGTTAGATATTAGGAGGAACTTTTTCACTCAGAGGGTGGTGACGCACTGGAACAAGTTGCCTAAGGATGCTGTGGATGCCCCATCCCCAGAGGCACTCAAGGTCAGGGTGGATGTGGCTCTGGGCAGCCTGGTCTGGTGGTTGGCGACCCTGCACATAGCAGGGGAGTTGAAACTGGACAGTCATTGTGGTTTTTTTCAACCCAGGCCATTCTATGATTCTATGATTAAAAATTATCCTCTAATTACCTCTGAATAAAGAATTGAATCTTTGCTTTTTCTAAAACAGTAATTCTGTGGTTTTATCACTTAAACCCTGAGGTGAGTTGAGTAGCCAGTAACCAGTATACAATACCACTGATTCTAGGGGAACAGCTTGAACTCTGCATTTCAAGTGCATCAGCTTTACATTTACAAGTGCTTCCAAGCAGCAATGTGGATACAGCAAGGCAGAAGGCAGTGGAGGACCCAGGAAGGTAAGGCAGAGAGAAGCAAGTTTATAGCTTTTATATGTTCCCAGGTGAAGCTCTGATACAAAGGCTGAGAGGACCTTCAGCCCCCAGGACTCTATTAGATACCTGTTCTTCTCCCAGGTCTGTCTACACATCACATGGATCAGACTGGACTGGAGGGTCAAGATAGTGCTATGTAAAAAGAAAAGTGAAGTCTCAGAGCTTTCTGATCTGAGCCTTCATGGCAAAGTGGGAGGTAAATAGCCTCATTCTTTATCTGAAGGATTTCTCATTGGACTTAAGCCTCTGTGCATTCAGATTCATAGGTATATCAAGTGATGGATGGTACCTGACAATAGGACGCTTCCTGACTATTTCATTAGTGTCACAGAATAGAATTGCAGAATATTATAATCCAAATGATCTGCTATCAGATATGGAAGGAATGTTGGGTGTTTTCTTCAGTGTGTATCCTGAAGCTAGAAGAGAGAAACATTTCAAGGCCACTTTCTCAAATATAAATTTGAAACTCTTGGTGTAACATAGAAAGCCCTGGAAACTGAAGCCCTTCTGTTTATTCACAGAATGGATATGGCATAAGAAGCACATGTCCAGGTTTCCCCATTCTGCTCTCCCACTAGCAAGGACCAACTGCATCTCTGGGTGAGAACTGAACTCTACATCTCCCTTCAAGACACTTTCCCTTCTGCTGTGTCTTGTCTATCTGGGAACTTGCACTAGGCACGCTTCTTTTTAAAAAGCCAGTGCTAATTTAGTTTAATTCAGCTAGGAACCAGTTGGGGTTAAACGAAGGCTTCAGCAGCTGAAAGGGAAATGGCGTTGGCAGGGAATGACTCAAGTTAAACTAGTGTGATGGCCATCTTCATTAGACCAGGCTTGAGAGAATGGCATTCATGCTGGAGATTGCTGACTGTTAGTCAGGAATCAAACCCCAAAATGAAAATAGTACTTGAAGTGCAGCCTCACCAGTACTGAGTATAGAGGGACAATCACCTCCCTGGTCTTGCTGACGGTATTATTTCTCATATGAGCCAGGATGCTGTTGGCCTTGTTGGCCACCTGGGCACACTGCTAGCTCATGCTTAGCTGGTTATTGACCAGCACCCCCAGATCTCTTTCCACCGTGCAGCTCACCAGCCACTCTTCTCCAAGCCTGCAGTGTTGCCTGGGGTTGTTGTGACAAAAGTGCAGGACCTGGCACTTGATCTTGTTGAAACTCATAACTGGCCTCAGCGCAGCTATCTAGCCTGTCTAGATCCCTCTGCAGGGTCTACCTATCCTCCAGCTGATTGACACTCCTCCCAACTTGATGTTATCTGCAAACATACTGAGGATTTTCCCCAGTGTCCCCTATCTTCAGTGGGAAGATGGGAGAGAAAAGAAGAAGCACCTCTCCAAACCCGTGAAGTTTCTGCATTCATGAAACCCCATGCAAAATTCAGGTGGGCTTTGGTGTTGTGGTTACTTGTGAATATAAGGTGTGCTCAGGGTGAGTCGTGCAGCAGGAGGTGTATGCTCTGTGTGCACCACTTCTAAGCTTATGGGGCAGAAAACATACCCAAAGAGCAACTCTTCCAGCTCTGTACCACCGGATCTGCTAGCTGGGGAAACAGATGATCATTCCTTTTTATTTTACTTTGTTTCATTATTCCCCCTGAAAGGAAGAGTGTTGTTATATGAAAGGCATTTTTTATTGTGGTGCTAAAGTGGCAGTTGTTCAGGCAGGTTCACATCACAGCTTTAGAAAGGTAGCAATTTATGGAATAGCATTAGTCCAGTCGTTTGAAATGAGGCCTCCAAATAGCAGTCAGTCTGGAAACTAAAGGAGACAAAGCCAAGGTATGTATCGCTCCAACAATTCATGTATATTTGAGAGGCTGAATTATAAATAAGCAGTTTAAACAGCACATTATGGAAGAAAAAAAAAAGAAAAAAGAAAAAACACCACCAACAAAAAGCAAGCTTCCATAACTATTTTTAACTGGGTTAGCTTTCATCTTTTCATTTTTATTTCTTCTATTTTTTTCATTCCGGCTGTCAAAGGCTACTGAGCGCACACTGCTCCAGTTCTTCCTTTCTTCCTTGCTCTGATGTCTCCAGCTGACTTGTAAGTAGTTAGTGAAGAAATATTACACAAACTGTACTTACAATTGTCTGTCTTCATTAATAGTTTTTAAATTATTCATTTTATCTCTGATAGTGATCTGTTGTTACATTTTTTTTTTCTGCTTAACATGCAAGAATACAAAACTTAAAAATCCCTTTGTCATTTAGAGTTCAGGCTCTTCCATGCACGTACTCTCCTTACACTTCAGGAAATCACATTTTTGCAGGCTTGGAAATGCATATTTTTTTCTTATTATTTTTGCTTCTAATAGAAAAAAATCTCCACAGACCAGAGGGAACTGTAAGCTTTAGAAATCATAAGTTTATAAACATCTTTTAAAGATGATTTTTGCTGCTACTGATATGTTCTAAAAAACCTGCCTTTAGCTTATGTTTTGTCTATTAACTTAAGCACATTCTAAGTACAATAGAAATAAAATACCTGCATCCTTAATTTAACGTATTCATAAAGAGGCTTATTCCAAAACGTAGGAATGAAGTCTG